TCGACCTGGCTGACATTTCATAAATTCTTCTGTGCACACGAGGTTGGTAGGTGGAAACTTTTTTATTATGGCCTGACGTTTCGACTAGATCGTCTTCATCAGAGGCCTAAACGTGGCTCATAATTTGAAACTGCTCTCTCTACACCGCCAAAGATCTCCCCTTTTCTAAGAAAGAAGAGAGAAGTTGGACACGACCAGGCTGTATTTGGGCCGCAAACTGAACTAAGTTCGTGACGTGAACAAGGTTCTTTAGTCCTCTACAGTTCTAGCTGAGGTTGCACACATGGTTGGAATTTTTTTCAACTTTGTAAGGAGAGTTGATATACCCTTTCTCCCGGGTGTAAGCTGCCTTTTTTCTTTCGGGCTTCAATTTTCATTGACTAGCGAGAGCCCTCGCGTCAAAGCTGCTTTCATGTGCGCATGGGTGGCTTATATCCCAGGTAGTAGCAGAAGTATCGACTAGCTGTTTCAAGGTACCTTCAGGACTAGACACCTCTTCCGATCGCGCTTGTCGAGTGTACTTTTCGATAATCAATTGACAACTTAATCAAGCTATATCTGTGTCACACGCGATTCAAAAGCTGAAGCTATCAAGCGTTCTAACTATTTCAGTTCATGGGCTTGTCAAAGGAAAAATGTCTAGAAATGGTACAGAACTTGACTTCCCCATTCTGGTCCAATCCCACAAACTAAACAGGCCTTCTTCTATCTATTTTCTCCCTCTCTCCCTATTTTCGATTCAGGACAGCAGACTCGCCAGCAAACTCATCTGACAGCCAGAGCATGAAACATTTAGGCAGGGTTCGGACTTCGCTATGACGCGCTTCGATGCGATAGGAAGCGCTGTAACGCCCCTCGGCGCGCTACCATTACAGAGCTATAGTACTTGAGACGAAAATACAGCCATAGATGACTATCGACCGGCGCTAGACGCCACTGAGGGTACGCCTTGCCTAATCACACTTCTGGTATCAGCGCCGGATGCTTGTGTTTTCGGAGAACGTAGAAAAATAGGAGGGTATAGTGTGTGTGTGTGTGTGTGTGTGTGTGTGTGTGTGTGTGTGTGTGTGTGTGTGTGTGTGTGTGTGTGTGTGTGTGTGTGTGTGTGTGTGTGTGTGTGTGTGTGTGTGTGTGTGTGTGTGTGTGTGTGTGTGTGTGTGTGTGTGTGTGTGTGTGGTGTGTGTGTGGTGTGGTGGTGTGTGTGTGTGTGTGTGTGTGTGTGTGTGTGTGTGTGTGTGTGTGTGTGTGTGTGTGTGTGTGTGTGTGTGTGTGTGTGTGTGTGTGTGTGTGTGTGTGTGTGTGTGTGTGTGTGTGTGTGTGTGTGTGTGTGTGTGTGTGTGTGTGTGTGTGTGTGGTGGTGTGTGTGTGTGTGTGGTGTGTGTGTGTGTGTGTGTTGTGTGTGTGTGTGTGTGTGTGTGTGTGTGTGTGTGTGTGTGTGTGTGTGTGTGTGGTGTGTGTGTGTGTGTGTGTGTGTGTGTGTGTGTGTGTGTGTGTGTGTGTGTGTGTGTGTGTAGAGAGAGAGAGAGAGAGAAAGAGAGGAGAGAAGGCGCGAGTACCACTATGCTGTTCTAGACCCTTTTATCACACCAGTCAATGACACCGATCAAACCGTTACGATTGCGTTTGCCTTTACATAGGCACAGGAGGCCATGACAACCAATCAGGCAGCGTTCACACTTGTAGCGCTACAGCGTCGCGCTACAGCGTCGCGCTACAGCGTCGCGCTACAGCGTCGCGCTACAGCGTCGCGCTACAGCGTCGCGCTACAGCGTCGCGCTACTGCGTCGCGCTACAGCGTCGCTACGCTGCCAAGTTCTTGCGTCGCGCTTAACGCGTAGCGCTACGCAGCGTCGTCGCTACAGCTTGTAGGCGCTACAGCAGTTTGTAGCGGAACTCCATGCTTTTATGTTGTTCTTTCTCATAATCATCCTCTTGCTGATTTGCTTCTCAATATTATCTGATAGTGAGCTCCTGTTTCTACTTTATCACATTTTGATGTAGTTTTTTGATACAGAAGACTGTGATAATTGGTTTATTTATCGTTTTTGACTTTAATTATTTGGTTTCACAGTTTGGTTGATGTTTGATGGCTTTGCTTGATGTCTTGCAGTACTGCCTCGTTTTGATCCCGATTGCGAAACTACATTAAAATGTGATAAAGTAGAAAACAGGAGCTCACTATTAGATAAATATGAGAAACAAAGAGAAGAGGATTGAATATAGAAAGAATGAATACAGAATCCTATGCCGCTTATGGATTACGGAGCGAAATCTGCTTTTCGAATTTGCCCCCAATCTCTGCCTGGATCACAGGAAAAAGATTCATGCCGGTTTTCGCGTTTTCGAGGCATTACCCAACAAAGCTTTGACAGTTTCTTGTACTTTTTTTGGCCCAGGAGCGTAAAAATGGCCTTATCTCCCACAACAGGCACGCGAACACTGTCTGGTCACCAATGCGTTAACACAAGGCAAACAAGAAGTTCCTTTATGGTTCTTCTGTCTCCGGTAAAAAACATGCGTGCGTGTTTTTAGGTGGCGCGAGTACTCTTTGGGTGTTTTTTGCAGAAAATGCTCTTAATAGGACAGAAGGACACTGTTACGCTAAAAGCAGTACCAGAAAAGTATTGACTAATGGAGTAACTGTCAAGGATGGTCAGATATTAGGTTGGCTAATAAGTAATGGCGGTTTTTTTCAATTGAAAAATTTGTTCCAAAAGTGAAAAGTTTTGCAAGCAAGCTTAATATCGTTTAATAGCAAATTTCTCGTAGTATTAGAATATCAAATTCATATTCAATTAATTCAACTATTAGCATGAAATTTCTAAATAGAGGCAGTTGTCGAAGGTGCTAATTTTCGGCGACTTCATCCAACTTCAACGACTGAAAAATCCACAAAAACTCTCCCACAGAATCCTCAACCAAAGCTTTTTTGATATTCTATACTACGAGAAGTTTGCTATTAAACGATATTAAGCTTGCTTGCAAAACAGTTCACTTTTGGAACAAATTTTTCAAGTTGAAAAAAACGGCCATTACTTATTAGCCAACCTAATAGTTACAGCTGCATCAGTCTCACCTTTCCGTGAATTTCTCAAGAAAACTCCAGCAACCTTCCCACTTTTCTCTATAAGCAACTCTAATCATCCTAACGTTGGAAATTGCAGTACGTTGCGAAGCGGTGCTGTAGCGCTACGGTGTAGCGCGACGCTGTAGCGCTACGCTGTAGCGCGACGCTGTAGCGCGACGCAGTAGCGCGACGCTGTAGCGCGACGCAGTAGCGCGACGCTGTAGCGCGACGCTGTAGCGCGACGCAGTAGCGCGACGCTGTAGCGCTACAAGTATGAACGCTGCCTTAGGATATCGACACGCGCAAGCGATAAACTAACTTCACATTCTCACTTGAGCTTTCACCTGGAATATACGCCGGAGGATTTCGATAATTTGATGTACCTTGCGTCTCTACCCGCTATTCGACACGCGACACGTACAACACATACGCCACACGGCCAGAAGAACGAGGAGAACACTACGGACGACCGGCTATATTCAGTCGTATGGCTGATCGTATGGCGTGACTATGGGGCTTATATCGCGCATCGGATCGCTGGCAAAGACAGCGCTGAAACCAACCAACTATAAACCTGTGGCTTCAATGCCGCGCACATTCCAACGGCGCTACAATCCTACTGCTGCGGACCTGCTCACGCCGCAAATGACAGAGACCTTCTCAGGTACTCATAAAGATGTTTTTGAGCATTCGCTTGTATACACTTGGTAGAGTTGTTCGGAGAGAGTGGTCAGTAGCTGGGCGGGCGATTGTACGAACGTCACCGGCGGAGGGGCTGTGGTGTAGCCAAAGGCCTTCTCGCAGCCCTTCTACCCATGACGCTAGTAACGAGCGCCCGCCTTCAGCAACCGTGCCCACTGCCTTCGAGCATCCCATTATGTACTTCCCTGGAGAACAAAAGCAGTAATCGCATTCACAAGTGGATGAGGTTTTATGGCTAATGACGAATATATGAAATTTTGAACAAGGAAAACCTTACTTGCAGAGTTGGGTCCCGAATCCTTTCCTATTTTCCCCTGGTTTTGCTTTCCATTCCTATCCCTCCTATATGAATGTGACTGTCCACATTTGGCACGTGTCCGGGCAAGTGTAATTTGGTGATTGTGGCCAATCTCCTATCATGCTGTTCATCGTTTAGATCTCCTCCTCCATATCCTCATTCCTCATTTATCATATCCTCCTTCCTCCTCATCCCTTGGTCAGAGTTGGTTGGAGGCTGAAACAACTTTGTACAATTTCAAACAAACTTCATTGAAAGCTGCAACAAACAACAATAACGCGGCTGAAAACCGCTGCAGCACAATTCAGCAGGTAATAGTGGAGGTATTGCTATCAAAATGTAATGTGAGAGGTAGAATTTGAAAGGTTGAGTTAGAGGTAGTGTTAGTTCCAGGCAATCCAAATTATAGCGTATAGTACAGAGGAATACACAGCGTATAGGCGCTGCTGAAATTGATGGAAGCCAGGTGGACAACGCTACTAGGTGGTTCTGTCTCTTCTCGGGCTTAGGCTGCGTTCATACTTTGCATTAGTGTCCGGCAGCGTTTTCAGTGTTTATAGCATACGCCAGCCCCAGCGACTAGGAATGTATAGGTATCGATTAGCGTATGCCAGCGTCCACCAGGGGTGGAAAGTATGGGGGAAACGAGATGGTAACAGACTGCTAAATTAGGCGTGGTAAAATTGCAGCGTGTGCAATCGCACTTTACAACTAACTGCATACACCGTACATCAGGACTGCATAATGCTGTGCTTTACCAGTTGTACGGTGTGGTCGCACACGCCGTAATTTCATGACGCCTAATCCAGCAGTTTGCTACACTCCTTCCCCATCTCCATTCCTGATCGCTGGCGTTCGCTAGACCAATATCTATGCTTTTCTATTCGCTGGAGTTGGCGTACGCTCGAAACGCTAATGGAGGGTTACACAAAGTATGAACGCAGGCATAGGCTTGACGGAGCGCATACGATCAGAATCCGCGCGCTATTTCCGCGCTACGCCGCCGCGTGGCCCCCATCAACTACAGCGGCACCCATATATTTACGAACATAAATGTACCATTAAAGTGCTGAAGATCCGCGACCAATGGATTCTTGAGTGTTAGTCACGAGAGGAACTGCGAGACTTTGAACGTGATGGCGATCGCGATGCCGAGCGACTGTGCGACGGCGAACCACGTGGGCTATACTTCGGCGAATCCCGAGCGCGAGGACTGCGCGATCGGGAGCGTCCTCGACCACCACCACCACTGCTGTCTTCACGTACACGTATGTAACTTGTCTCTCCCTAAAACCAAATTTTTGAAATTTTATAATAAAAAATTAAAAATGATAGTCTCACTTCATGAGAACGGAATTTCGTATCATCGAGCTTCTTCAATGCGTATTTCATATCATCAAGACGTGTGAATTCAACGACTCCCACACCATCGCGTGAGACATCCGCATAGCAAACTTCTCCAGCCTCGCGCATGTGATCCTTAGACGAAAAGTTAGGAGAGTTTATAGAGCGATAGTCATAAGAATACCTTCAAATCCTGCCACGAGCCAGTTGCTGGGAGACCCTCGACGACGACACGGTAGTTCGTACGGCGAGCAGGACCACGACCACCACCTCCTCCGCCATATCCTCCTCTACCACCACCACCGCCACCACCACTGTAACCACCACCGTAGCCACCCCGACCGCCGTATACACCACGACCACTGCCGTTCAAGGGACGGCCTCCGGGACCACGCGGTCCTGCACCGCGGGTGAACTCTACGCGAATACGAGAGCCATCCAGATCGTAACCATCACGGCCGCGGACCGCATCTTCAGCATCTCTGAAAAATATAAGGGTAATTGTTGAGCGAGACAAGCACGTGAACTGAAGTGCACTTCTTCCACAAAAACCACAGCCAACGGCTAGTTGCTGCACCTCATAGAACAGAAACAGCCGGCGCAGTTCGGCGATGAGATAGGGGGGGGGGGGGGGCATTTTGCATTCTCGCTGCTTCACTAGTTTTTGTTTGCAAGTTTCACCGTGGTGGAACCTGTCAACTCTAGTGATGCTGGAGCAAGCTCATCGAACCAGCTGGCAAAACCTGTCAACTCTTGCACGCCCATGTAATAGCTCTCTAGTTGGCTCGACGCGTCATGGGAAGTAGCAGAGGCGAAACGCTCCTCCCGCCGAGACAGTCTGCTGTTCCTTAATTAACAGGCTTGCTGTTCGTTGGGTAAGTCATTTTCCCCATAGAGGCCGTGATTAGCAGTTCTAAGTCGTCCTTCATTCCTACTGTATGGATGGCTTTGCGGAATCTTTCTAACTGTGCATCCGGTATCCGGCGCTATGTATCTGTGGAGGGCAGTCTGCAGTTTTTGGCGTGTTAGGGTACCTTGCAGTTTTTCAGGGATGGAAGAAGGCTAGGTAGTAAACTTCTAATGGACGAAAAACCGGAATCGCAAGTTGCTCAACACACATAAACCCTTCCCCTATAAAATTGCAGCTATGCCCTTATCAGAAACATTGCCCCTCGAAGGTTTTAATAAATCTCAATACCGTGTTACACTTCAGATTTTAGAAGAAAAACGCAGGGCATTCAGCGACCGGGGAAGGCGGGGGGGGGCATTTTGCATATTTGCCACTTCCCATCAACTGTCTGCTCTTCTGAAGAGCCATTTCGTGATCTAACAAGGGTTGACAGGTTTAATTTGATGGGTCGATGCACTTGCTCCACCTTCACAAGAATCCACAGATTTAACAGAGACCTGTGAACCGGAGCTAATGAAGCAGCCAAATTGCAAAATGCTTCGACCCCTCGCCTAATGCCCCGAAAGTGCGAGTTGTTTGCTGCGCATAATAAGAACTCGAACATAACATAATTAATCCCCCCATGCACCGGAGACTGGGCTTGTTTCGGGCCTATAAAGGTTCAACCGAAGAGCCTCATGTCCATCGGTGTATGGGGTATTTGCATTAGAGATGAGCAGCCGGCTGGAAAATAAATTACGCTGTGTAGCTAACGATTTCGCTCCTCCGAGTGGTGAACAGTTTTAGATACGCGTATTCGGCAACGTTCGACTTGGTGGGGGCATTTTGCTGGCTACTGTCAATCCCTGCCGCTGAATCATGTCGAGACCTGCAAACTCCTGTTAAGCCATGTAATAGCCTGAACGTGAAGTCTTTCCACTTGCTCCGGCACGCTGCGAGGTGAACGTTGACAGGAATAAGCAAACGACCAGCGAAAGTGGACATCCCCCCTTCCCTCCAACCGCAAACGCAGACACAGCGCCGGTTCATTTGGGATGACGAATAACTTTAAAGTGCCCCTTCCCAAACTTATTAGTGTTGGAAGTTACGACATTATTTCACCAACAGTGTTGAAAAGAACCGCAAGTTGAGGAAATTCTAAAAAAATTCACTAACCGAGGGTCTTCGAATTCAACGAATGCGAAGAGTGGTCCGCGAGTTCCTTTCATGTCGACGAAACGAATCTTCCCATATTTCGCAAAGATGTCCTCAAGGTCTTTCTCACGGCAATCCGGAGGCAGATTACCCACATAGACTCGTGTTTCGTCACGTCCCATCTTAAATGTGTATGGTTAAAGTAAGAAATTACATAGAAAACATGAGGCAGTCGGCGACGGGGGGACGGGGGGCATTTTGCACTTTTGCTACTTCACATGGACGTGTCGGCCCATCTCGAAAGCTATTTCATGAGCTCACATGAGTTGGCAGGTTTTATCAGGAAAAACTAACCCCCTGCTATAGGAAGAATATAACGAACTTAGTCCATCTTCACAAGAGTTCACAGGATTCACCAGAGTAGGACTTGTAAACCGAAAGTGTGATGTAACGAAAGTGCAAAATGCTACCCCACCCCCGTCGTCGAACTGCCTTGAGAACGTAACACAACTCCCGAGAGAGGAAACCATGCATTGATAGAAATGCTGATAGATGAAGAGAAGGCTGCGGCAAGGACGATCAGCGCAGTAAACATTCAATAAAACCAAAAAGTGGCGGCAAACGCAGCGCTCAATCTGGTCGCGTTGCGACAATGACGGCCCCGTCTTGCCAGCAGTTGGCCTGCCAATTGATCGCCATTGCGATGTTTGGGTCACCCGCGACCTGATGAGCAGAGCAGAGACCTTCGAGCAAAGTTTACACCCAGTCGTGGGTCGCGCACAGATCACAGATAGAGATAGAGCTTGGGATTACAGTGCTAATCGTTCTCCACCACTGTAACCCCCTCCCCTGAGCCGTCACTTCATGGGAAATAATGCGCAAAAAAGTCAAGCTATCCACCAAAAGCAAACAGTTCGGGGTGGAGGATGGGGGGACTTTTGCACTATTGCCCCTTCCCATCAACGTGTCGAGCCATCTAGAGAGCTAGTTCATTAGCTTACAAGAGTAGACATGATGACCATCGTGGCTCGATGAACTTGCTCCAGCCTTCACAAGAGTTTGCAGGTTCACCACAGTGAATCTTGTAAACTGGACCTAGTGGAGCACGAAGGTGCAACATGTCCCCTCGTCGCCGCACTGAGCCAGCAAATATCATTAGGCGCCTGTTAGATGTCTAAACTTTCCAGTCGTATTTCGTCAACCCTGAGAATCAGGCCAAGGCAAGTCCCAGGGTTGACGAAAAAAAAAACTGAACCGTATGATACCAGGCGAGGCGGACCATTGTTGTAGAAACACAGCGGGTCGAGCGGGAGGGTCGTATTCGACCGCCGGTGAAGGGTGGGGTCGTAATTCGCCGTAAAAACTTTTTTGATTGCTAGTTTTTCTCGTCTCGCGTAACATGCCTCCCGCTAGTTTTCTGAGGAAAAGCTGGAAAATTTCCTGGAAAATTGCGAAAAGTGGCAGGAAGTTGGTTGAGCAATTGGTGAGAAAAGGGGTCTTAGTGGAGGAAGGAATTTGGGCAGTCATATTTAGCAAAGATTTTACACATGTGATGGTGTTACCATTAGCTTGGGATTTTTGTCGAGCCCGAACGATGCCCCTTCCCCCCCCCTTCCCCGGTAGTCTTCGGACTCGACCAAAATCCCACAATTGAGGACAGGGTTTGAACGAACCTTCTATGTTTTGTAGTAGCACTTTCTTTCTTCCTTTTACACTTCTGGCTTGATAACCGGGTCATCCGTTCCGGAGCACAGTGGAAGCACAGCTGCGAAATCCTCATGGGAGAGAGTACTCAAGTCCATGGGGAGACTGAGTAGATGAAGACTTTTAGAACTATAGAGGCTCGCACACAACAGCTGCGGAGTGGGAATGGGGAGGGGGGAGGGGCTGTGCTAGACAACCATTCCCACTCCTGGGTAAAGCACATCCCCATGATGTGCTTTACCCAGGAGTCTCCGCACCTCGAAGAAGCGTATCCTTCGGAGCTCGCTTATGTTCCCTCACACCTTTAAATGTGTTGTGCGCAATTTCTGCGAAAAACACCTCCCCGTCACTTCTCCTCTTTCGGTGCGACTCCCTTTCATAGGTTACAGCCTTTATCCCTGCAACAAGAGAGCCTGAGTGAAAGGAAAATTGGACCGCAGAAACGGCAGCTTTTCCCACCCCACAGTTGTTACCGGCTAAGGACGGCTGCAGGACCGTTACCATCGTCCACATTGTTTTCCCTAAATTTTGCCATCAAGCGAGAGGGAAAAGGTGGGGGAAACCAATCAATCAGATGTTTTGTTCTTCTGTTTTCGCCAATAATCAGAGGTAAACTCTGTCACCATTAGAATGACCCCTTCGCTGGAATTTCCACGACTATGATGTGCCTTGGAGGGTTGCACTTGGACATTACAAGAGATGGAGGGTGGGGAGGGGGAAGGTTGGTCCGATTATTGAATTTTCCTACACAGTACAGTACACAGTACGTATCCTTTCCCTCCACTAGTTCGAACTTCCATGGCAGAGCCATTACTGTTTAGATTGCCAGGGAATCACTCCATAATGATGAAACAGGTCAACCATCCAGCTTTCTGCGGAACGCCATTAAGGTCCATGATTTATTTTCCAGACTCAACTCTTACAATTCAGTTTTACCCCACCCCCCCCCTTCCCCCATGAGCAGTGTCTTTTCTATTGGCCACCAATATACCTCCCCCCCTCATGGAGGAAATGCCTAGGGGAAATTCTGTGATTTGCTAAAATTTCTCAAACAACAGGTTGAGCACTGGGCACGACCACTATTTTGATTTGTCAGCGGATAAGCCCAATAAGACTCAGTTGTCATGCCGACGCGTATCAGTGCTTCCCATGGGATATATTCTTCGTATAGGAGGAGGTTAGTTTTTCCTATACGGAAGCCACAATTACGGGTTTCTCATAGAGACGAGAACACCGTAGAGAAAAAAGTTCAATGGAGTATCTGTCAAATCGGAAGCTCCAAGCCATCGCAGAGCCTTCGAAGATGAAGCTCTGACCAGGAAAGGATCTGAGAGCTTCTGAGAGCTCTAACTTTGCTGTAGGATTTTGAACATGACGTACACTTCACTTCGCACAAGGTGTTCATCAAAAGGCAAATCTTTCGCACCCAGCGTAGGTTTCCGCGGCCACATTGGTCTTCGTACACTCGTGACAAAGTAAGGAGACTATTTCAGTACTTCATTCATCTAGTTGTGCCATTTCTAAATTTACGTAAGCTCTTTCTTGTCCATCATTAGACCATCTGGAATCCTACTCCCTGACCTAGCACACCCTTACACCCTCCTTCCTTTCGGAAGACGGTCAGTCCTTAATTGATTGTTCCCCATCGAATTTCTTAATATGTATGTGTAATAATAGTTCGGTGATAGTGGTGTAGGCAATGTATATGATGGTTGTAGACCTGAAGAAGGACTCACGGCTCGAAGTCGCCAGCGAAAACTTTGAAAAATTTCATTTTGTCAATTACAGGAGATTCCTAATACAATTAAAGACAATTTCCGTAATCAACGTATTGAAGGTAAGGGGTGTTCAATCATGAACCAGCAGCCAGTAGGCAATCCCAGAAGAGAAAAAAAAAAGCTTGAGGACACCAAACAGAACCCCCGTGACAGTCAGACACCTCACTGTACGTGTTCCCCGGTCTGGCTGGCTATTCGATACTCTGCGGCTTTGTGCAATAAATGCCACTGAATGCTAGATCACAAACGAAAAACAATCCACTGGAACAGAAAATAGCTCTCGGAAACTGTGTGCATGAAATATGGACTCTGATAAACAATGCACGGCGAGCTTCTGCACCAGCTTGATTGCATCACTGTTGAATTTAAGCAGCGCTATGACACACTGCTTTATGAACTAGGCTGTTGATGTTGACTTGCTTTCAAAAAAGGTATCGCGGGAGAATAGAACACCCCGTGAGCTTGCAAAAGATTCAGGTAAGATTCTCTGAGATGAGCATATGAGTCGTCCTACGACGCTGCAGACCACAAAAGATGCGCGTAATCCACCGTGTGCGCCATTGCCTTGCAGACTGGAAAGAACAAGGTCCATAACAGTCTTGCGTCTGCGGCCACTTTATTATTCCATTTCGAGTGACGAAAACAGTACTGTCTGCAAGGGCAGACCTGATGCCAAAAGCACGGCGGCATTTCGCGGACACTTGATCGCGGAAACTGCTGTTGAGCTCGGAAATTGATATTATTATATTATTACTCTGATATTACGGAATATGTCACTCGTCATATTTTTGATTGTTGAAAACTTGGACATTAGTCATTTTTCCAGACCATTTTTCATCTTGTAACTTAAAGCTGGCCACATGGGCAAAGTTTCTGATGTGTACAATAAAGCAAACAACTGTAATGGATGACTTTATTCGTTTTCAAACAAAAATCGAAGGTGACGATGAAGACCTGAAAGTGAAAGTATGGAAAAAAAATCTTACGTGTACTGCAATGTTTCCCGTGCTCTCATTATACTGTGTGGTGGTGTGTGATCCCTATATCCCTTTTACTGTCTCCATGGTTCCGAAACAGATTCCACTGAACAAGGCCAATCTCCTATCCTGCAGTACCGTAGTGCTTTAATGCTCCGTTTAATTTCCTCCTTCATCATCATACCTTTCTCATAGTGGGGGCTGAAACAACATCATCAAATTCAACGGAAACTTCATTTAAAATGACAGGTAACAAAGTACGGTTGGAAAAGGGCTGCAAGTCATTACTAGTCCCATTGTAATGCTAACAAAAACGTAATGAGGTATATTGTGAGGTAGTTTCACTAAGTAACTCGTTTTATACAATAGCTGATGATCTGAATAGAAAAAGTACCATTAACGTTTTGAGGATCCTGAACGCCTTCAATCACGCGAGGAACTGCGAGACTTTGAACGTGATGGTGATCGCGATGCCGAGCGACTGTGCGAACGCGAACCACGTGGGCTATACTTTGGCGAATCTCGGCCGCGAGGGCTGCGCGATCGTGAGCGACCGCGGCTGCCTCCCCCTCCTCCTCCACTACTGGTGTCTTCACGTACACGAATGTATCCTGTCTCGCCCTAAAACGGAATTAAAATGCAGTATAAATAGAAAAACCAAAAAAAGACTTTCAACTGACCTCGTGCGAACGGAATTTGGTATCATCCAGCTTTTTTAGTGCATATTTCATGTCATCAAGGCGAAGGAATTCAACTGTGCCAGTACCGTCGCGAGAAACATCCGCATAGCAAACTTCTCCTGCCTCACGCATATGATCCTTGAAATGATTCTGCGCAGCAGATGTAATGAATAGGTGGTGAAATGATAGCCATGGAAGATACCTTGAGATCTTGCCAAGAGCCCGTTGCCGGAAGCCCTTCGACGATGACACGATAGTTCGTACGGCGAGATGGAGCGCCACCTCCACGATTACCGCCACCGCTATAGCCTCCTCCTCCTCCGTAACCTCCTCCATAGCCGCCTCCTCGGTTGCTGTAGCCACCAAAGCCACCACCACGGCCACCGAATCCTCCGCGTTGACCTCCACCACCTCCTGGACGTGGTCCATTACCGCGAGTGAATTCAACACGAATACGGGATCCATCGAAATCGTAGCCATCGCGACCACGGACTGCATCTTCGGCATCGCTAAAATACTATGCAAATAATTTATGAACAGAATATTGTGCTTTCTAGCAGTTGGAGGGGGCGGGATCACTCAGCTGTACCCTTATGTCCTCTCCCTTGTTCAAGGCTTAGACTTAAAGCGTACACAACCAGAGTAGCTCAGGTATAATCTCGCAGAAAATCCAATCTCTTCTAAGCTTGAGAGAAAAAGACATGCGGGGCGGCCAAGTGGTCTTTCCCCCTCCCAAACTACGTAGGCTCTCTAGTGGTCACATTTTTTCAGAATGAATCCTCCAATTGGGTTAGAGCCCGAACAAGCACTCACCGTGCATCATCGAATTCTACGAAAGCGAAAGATCCACCACGCCCGCTTTTGATGTCGACGAATCGAACCTTCCCATATTTCGCGAAAATGTCTTCGAGGTCCTTCTCACGGCAATCTGGGGGCAAATTACCCACATAAACTCGAGTGTCACTACGTCCCATTCTGAAAACAAAAGCAGTTTGCGAAGTACAGCAAAGGGTTAATACAATTCAACAAGAGAGAAGGATGATATGAGGAATTGTTCTTATCGGGGAAGATGCGACGACCACGACGCCGTGAGGGGACTGCTGTAAAAAATCGAAGATAACACACGCGACACAAGCTCGAATGCGACGCGGCGGGTGCTCGTCAGTCTTTTTGCGGCAGACTGGGGGGTTCAAACATAGCGCGTCCTTGGCTAGCACCTCAACGGAAAATCAGTTCGAAAGGGAAGGACATGAAAAACTGGAGATTTGAGGAATTTGCTCAAAAAGTCCGATGAAATTCGCTCCAGGTGTCGAAGTTCCTCCCCTCCCTCCCCCTAAATGGAGAATCGACAGAATAATCGTCAGTACATGAAGACGATCGGGGAAGTTCGACGCTGGTGTAGAGAAAAATAACAAGCTTAGGCTCAATCAGTTATAAAGGAATGTATAGTAGAACGATGATAAAGCAGCAAACAAGAGCTGCTGGGGGGGGGAGGTGGTTCAGTGGTAACCTAATCACGCAATAACCCTCTATGTCTGCGTCCGCCTGTTTGCCACAAAATTCGTAACGCCGTTCGTAGTAACAGGGGACGCAGCTGCGGAGAAGTAATATAAAGGGTGTCAACGAGAACACCCTTTAGGGTGTGGGGGGGAAGGAGGAAGAGGCTTAGTGTGTGAACCCATTCCTTTATCTATGACGATTCCACAAGGATCAAAATGTGTTCGATGGATGGAACTATTTGCAGACCACATCTGATGCTTAATGGCTAGCAAGGGGGAAGGTTAGTTGAGGAATAATGCAACCCTCACATGGCCAGGATTATCTTGACCCTGTATCAACTATGGGGCGGAGCAAAGGAGGGAGTGTCGTCCCAGACGGTTAGAGGACGAAAGATGGGACCGTTCCTAGAGTCGATGACTGTATAGGAAAAGAAGTAGTCCGAGATGGGTGGCCCCGGATCGCGCAGTGGTAGAATGCTATATATAAAACTAGCCGTGCCTCTCAGTTCCAGTGAGGTCACGCCTGAGGATATAATATAAGACCTAGAGTCCTAATTACATCCCACAGTTACATTTAGGTGTCACAGGTATCAATCATTTGATCTGACGATGCCTGTAGGTTCTGGTGACACTCCAGACTCACAATGGAACCATTATTTGTTTCTACGGATGTGGCCAGCCTGCAACTATAATGGCAAAAAATTGTGTAAAAAAATCGTGTGGTGTCACGTCAACGACATTCGCCTTCGGACCCAACCCATTCAATGTGGCAGACAGAGCACATCATTGGTTGGGGATTTTGGTCGAGTCCGTACGACCCCCCTCCCCTTTTTTGGGGGGTTGGTACTACCCCCCCCCCTCCGCCCCTCCTCATTGACTGTCGAGGGAGAGGGTGAAAGAGGGGGGAGGGGTAAATAGCACATGTGAAACAGGAAAAGCCGCGAGACAATACGACCCCCTTCTACCAATTCTCAGATTTTCCCCAACTTCCTGCCACTTCGTCCGAAATTTCCCAACATTTCCCTACTTTTTTTCCAAAAATTTGGCTGTCGAGGGGGAGGGGTTTACATGAAACAGGAGAATCACGAAAAGTCAGCCATCTCTTCCAGAAGGCCAGAAAAAAAACGACCCCCTCCCCCAACAACGAGCAAGTACGACGATAACCCCCCCCTTTTTTTACAACGTCCGTGAAGCGAGAAAAATCAACTTTCATATTATATTAAAATTTTTCCCACCAAGTACGACACCCCTCCTCTCCCGACGACCAAATACGACCTCCCTGTTGGGGATTACCCAACAACGATGTGCCCCGGTGACAGAGCTTTGGTGTGTCAGGTCACTAACAAGGGAATACTCTGCTATTTACTTTATTACTATTGCATTGCATCAACATGGATATCAAGAACTACACTCCCACAAAACCTCAGATTCGCTTATTCTGAATTGATTTTGATTTATTTTGCACAAAAAACATTCGGGTCAAGAGCGGAATTATGTATTTTTCCTAGCCAAAGGAGATTTCTACCAAAGCATGATGAACATGGGTGAGCGTCATTTTGCCTTGAAAGAGTAATCGTTGGAGTTTCCCGCTTCACGCAAGCGAAGGAAGGGATCCGTGCTCCGCCGACGATCGAAAATCAGAACGCAGCCGCATTTGTTAACGTTTCGAAGATCAGGTGGCGGGGCACGTCATACGTTTTAAAGACGACTCGAAATGTCAAGCGAACACTTGACGATCTCCTGTGGATGGTCAGACTTTTTCGTAAGAGCTCTGATTTTAGTGGCATGAAGTTCATCATGTTCCGAGACCACAGAGAATCCGTTGGGTAATTCTAGCACGTTGCAAGGACTAATGGACACGTTACTGGTGCCGTTCGAGCGGATGATCAAAGGAGGCACAGACGGTACAGGTGAGATGGTCGGGTCAGTACCTTCCTAGTGAAGGCCGGCCTTCGCGCCCCAACGAACAAGGCTGCACACCTGCTGCCAGAGAAACCCTACTTCAATAAAGTCAATAAATCTCTGCCAATGCTCAAATGAGTGGCGTCACTCGAGAGATGGCACAGCCTCACATACAGTCTATATAAACAGCAATATAAATTCATTCTAACTCACCATCCACCAGCTTCTTGAGGCAAAACGTTTTTTATTGGACTGCTCTTGCTTTTGAATAGATTCCAAGATTTGCAATATTCCTACACTTTTATGTAATTCAACCTTAGTTTTATCAGCAAAAATATAGTACGGGGATCCAGAACCTGTGGGCTCCAGTAATGATTACCTTGACTGCAAAAGTAGCGAAAAGATTTATTCATCAATCACCAAGAGTATTTATCCTCAAATACGACCCTACAAATTGGCCAAAGTCAAGTTTCGTTCGCAAATTGAATGATACAGTGAGGAACACGGGTAGAAATAAGCGTAGGCTGTGTCCGAGTAGTTTTCAGTGTTGTAGAACGCCGCACATGTTGCCACCTTCGACCAGCCATTGGACGTCGAAGAAAACGGGGACGTTAGCCACCTGCTGAAATAGAAAATATTCATGCGCGGGAGTTTATTTCACGTTATTGAGGTTCTTTCATACTTTGCGTCAGCGTTTTGAGCGACTAAGAAAGTATACGAAGCAATCTAGCGTTTTGCGAGTACGCTGGCGTTTTCGCGGAAAGTTTTGAGCTTGTCGCTGGCAGTCGCTGAAAATGCCGTCGTGCGCTCAAAACGCCGACGCGAAGTATGAACGCACTTATGTTGTTCGGTCAAAACACCGTTCGCGATTGCAAATCATCAACGGCGAACAGAAGCTGGGTCTTTAGAGCGAGTTTTCCAAAAGCTTAACTTCATACCAAGAAGTTGATTCGAAACATTCACTGCCTCAATGCGTCCAAGCTCAATTCTGAAAGCCTCTTTCGCTTTTCGCGCAAATTCGACTTAACGCTTTTTCGTTTTGTTACCCACGGTATGGGAGAGCAACTGGTTGCAACTGGAAAGTCGCGACAAGTGCCTGGGATCCTTGTCATGCAATTTCGAGTGGGGATGGCTAAATAAATTGAACGGTTACGAACCTGCCCGAGACAAAGGAAAAGCCCCACCTGTCAGGTAATCGCGAAAGAAGGGCCTTTGACCCGATCAGAGCGCGTTCAGACTTCGCGATCGCGCGATCGATCGCGCGATCGCGCTACTGTGGGTGAAATTACACCGGGAGGGGGTCATGTTCGTTCATGTTTATTGTTCCTGTTCTTTTTTCCTTTTCCTTCTTTCTTCCTTTGTGTACATAACGCCCTCCTAATTTTAAGGAACGTTTCGAAATATCTTTGAGTTATTTATTATTTCCTATGTAAAATAGTACTAAATATACAATATGCTAATTATTATACTGAATTTTGCATCTGAGTACGTTCAAGCGGAGTAATTG